AAAGCAGGTTATTTTTCTTTGGTTTATTATATTTTCTAAAACCTCAAATAATTACATATGCTATCAATACTTTTGCCAGTTTTTTATTCTAACTGCATCTTTATCTCTTACCATCGTATTTATTGGCTACATTTTACTATTCTGTGGATATGTAATTCAGAGAGAAGATAAATTTGACTGTTAACTGAAGTAAGACATATTAGACAAACCTAAAATTTTTAAAATTAATTATATGTCCTTTTTGTTCAAATAGGCTATCCTCTTCTCCCTACTAACTGCCAGACAGTGAGATCAGAATCTTTCAATATAGTTTAGTCAAATGTAATTGACTTTAGATTCACCAACCACTTTATATTACTTACAATACTGCTTTCCATTTATTAGCTCCTAGGTTTTTTTTTTGTTGTTGTTGTTTGTTTGTTTTTCTTTTATCTTAAAAATATGGAATGTGTTACGAATTTGCTTGTCATCCTTGTGCAGGGGCCATGCTAATCTTCTCCATATCGTTCCAATTTTAGTATATGTGCTGCCGAAGTGAGCACAATTAGTTCCTAGTTTTACCTATAATTTCAGTTTCCTCTTCTAAGCTATAAAACCTTTTCTTTGATGGCATTATTAATTAAACAATAATATTGCCTAAAGAAGCAGCAAAGAGGAGAATAAGAACTAACAAGTAGTCTGTATAATCCACTATTTAACGTTTTACTCCATGATTAGAAAGCAATAATAATGGTCTTCTTTTGTGGATTGAATGAAAATGATGGTACATAAATATTTATATTTTCCATCATAAGCCTTTTAATCTAAAAATAATGGCAGATAAACATCTTAAGTAAGCACATGCCTTAAGGAATAAAAAAGTTGAATGTTTCATTTCTCTGTAAGATATATATTGTGGAAATTGAACACATTAATATATGTTTTTCCCCACTAACATTGAGAAAGTACCATCTAAATGCCCATATTGTGATTTTTATTTTACTGTATTTTTCTTGAACATGTTGGAGCTAGTTTTATTATTGCATAGTTTTGTTTTTAACAGGGCTCAAAATATATATTTTTACAATAGTATTTCTAAGTATCTCTTCTTCCATTCTAGCACTAGATTTTTCACTATGGAAATATAAACTTACTTTTAAGTAAATATGTACTGTTGAATATAGATAAAAACTTTATCTGAGAATTTATCAACTTAATTGCAAAGTTTTCTTACTGTCCTATTATAAAAAAAAAGCTCTTTCTCTGACATTTTTATATACAGCATTTCTATTATTTCTTTTTCTTGATTTGCACTCTAACTGATTATGTTCATAAATATCAAATAC